CTGGCTCAACCTTAGGATAGATCTCTAGAGGCAGAGTCACTGATAGGGTGACCAGTTGTCCCAGTTTACCCTGGCCTGTCCTGACACTTGCACTGAAAGTTGTATGATTTGGATAACTCAGCCTTGCACACTGGGACAATGAGTCACTGTAGCTCTCAGACAAAAGCAATGTAGTTTCTCAGGCACCCCCCCCCCTTTTTTTTCTTTTTGGCAGGCAGAGTTAAACAGTGAGAGAGAGAGAGAGAGAGACAGAGAGAAAGGTCTTCCTTTTCTGTTAGTTCACCCCCCAAATGGTCGCCACAGCTGGCGCGCTGTGCCAATCCAAAGCCAGGAGCCAGGTGCTTCCTCCTGGTCTCCCATGCGGGTGCAGGGCCCAAGCACTTGGGCCATCCTCCACTGCCTTCCCGGGCCACAACAGAGAGCTGGACTGGAAGAGGAGCAACCAGGACAGAGTCCAGTGCCCCAACCGGGACTAGAACCCAGGGTGCCGGCCCTGCAGCCAGAGGATTAGCCAAATGAGCTGTGGTGCCAGCCTCTCAGGCCTGCTTATACACATTGCTGAATCTCCCGCCAGATGGATGTCATATCCACACCTACTATACAAGACATTTCCCTTTGGAGGTATAGAACTTTAACTGTCATTTATATCTACATACTTCAGCATAGATAGATACATGAGGTGTAAATTAAAAGTAATCTATATATGCCCTAGAAAGAGATAATTAATATGTGAAGTACCCCAATCAGGAATCCACATTCCAGAGGTGGCTGGTTAGCATTTGAAAGACCCTAATCAGGAGCCTCCACTCCAACTCCAGTGCCTGCTACAAGCACCCAGACAAGTGCTTGCTTTAAATGCTGCTCTCTGAAGCTGCATATTGAACTTGTTAATCAGCATAAAGAATATTAGAAATAATGTCTCATCCATGAAATACAAACTATTCAAGGAATCTTCTGTTTTACATTAACAATATTTTGAAAAATCTGGTATCAAAAAAAAAAAAAAAAGCAGCCTAACATCGTAGGAGTAACACTTTATGAAGAGAAGTCTACATGATCCAAACCCTACGTTTCCTAGAGTATTGTAGAGGTTTGGAAATGGGAGGGGGCACTTTGGAGCTGCCATGATGACTAGAGGGGTTGGGGGAAGATCTAGCATCATTCAGTGCCTAGGTCCAGGCGAAAAGTCCTACAAAGCTCAGGACAGTACAGCACCCTAAATACCAGGGACAGACATGGGCCTTTGGCATAGTGGTTAAGATGTCACTTGGGATGCCCACATACCATAGTGGAGTGCTAGTTCAAGTTCTATTCTGGTTCCAATCCAGATTTCTGCCAGTGTACACCCTGATAAAGCAATAGATGAAGGCTCAAGTACTTGGGTCCCTGCTATTCATGGGTGAGACCTGGATTGAGTTCCTGGCCCCTCAGCTGTTGCAGGCTTTTGAGGAGAGAATCAGCTGACAGCAGATCTCTCTCTCTCTCTCTCTCTCTCTCTGCCTTTCAAATAAAATAAAAATGAATGAATGAATTAAAAAATATATGCTAGGGTTGCTGGAGAAGCTTCTGGTTAAAGGTCCGAACCTTGTCGCATTTTTGCCTCAAAATAAACCTTCCAAGTTCAAGAACCTCAAGAACAGAAGGTCCACACTTCAGTGGGCTCAGACAGCACATTGACTACTCTTTGTTGCTGCTCTTGGATTGGAGACTTTGGATTGTTTTTGATTCTTTTATCATATGTGGCTGGGAATCCATAGGCCCGTAATCGGGAGCTCTGAAGTTCAAGGGCATCAGAAAACAGATGTCCAAGCTCAAGTAGAGAGAAAAATGGCCTTCCTCTGCCCATTAGGACCCTGAAGGGATTCTGTTTCCCAAACACTTTGTAAAAGGCAATCCTGTTTACCAAGTCAACTGAGTCAAATACTGACCTTTTCTGGAAACATCCTCACAGACACACCCAGAAATGACCTTGACCAGCCCTCTGGGCAACTCTTAGCCCAAGCGAGTTGACATATAAAATTAGCCATCACACACCCCACAAGCCCTACTTCCACAAGCCGAGGTGAGGGTGAGGAGCAGACAGTGGCTCACAATCTTGAGTCTGGAATCAAAGGATGGGAACAGAGGCAGAGCGGTTTAGGAAAAGGGCTTGGCACCGGGAGACTGCTGGGTATTGTTGGTGGCCACAGTCTAAGAATGTCCAGGGAACTGAACAACTCCCCTGCAGACCATCAAGGTGAGAAAAGCCTGTCACATCACCCAAGAGGAACAGCCATGGGAACTGCTGTCCAATAAGCTCTTAAATTCTGGCAGATCCCATTAGCTATTACGATGGTCCTTTGCTCTGATTGTGTATTAGAATTACCTGGAAATGTTTACAGTATTAACAAAGAGGCATGGGTTCTGATTTAATTTTTCTGTGGCTAGATCCAAATATATTTTCCATTAAATGTTCCCTGTATAATTTTAATGGACAACCAAGTGCTAACATATTTAGAATTTACTTTAAAATATCTCAGCACAAGCTATGTGATGTTATTATATCTTTGGATTAAGCCAGTAGTTCTTGACTTGGGTTTTATGCTAAGTCACATGGGGCACTTTTAAAAAATACTGATATTTCAATGCCACCTCCAAAAATTCCGATATAATTAGTCTAGAGGTACAGCATCAGTATCAATGGTTTTAAAAGTTTCTTTAGGTGACTCCAATAGACATTCAAGGTTGAGATCCACTAAACCTATTCCAGACAGTGACAAAATATATTAAAAGACACAAAGTTCCAAGGTGGTCAAACAGCATTCTACTCTATTCATTCTTGCCTGAATCAAAAATGAGTGCTTTGCAAATTAACATACTGGACATCAAATGAGTTTTTATTAAATAGATGATGAATGTAAGAAATGGCCTCTCCACAGTGAGATTACAGTTCTATGATACATAGGTTTGGCAAACAATATTCTAGAGACATTCCCTACCTCTGCATGAGTAGAGTATAGGGATATCAAGTTATAGATGCAACACTGGAAATGTATTAGGAATATTACCCTAAGCTAAATCCCTAGGTGGGTTCATATTCAGCTGTAAATTCTCAAAGGTGTGGGTTGCCTAATGCCAGCTCCCTGGGGTCCAGGAGGCTAGGCCTTTACCTCAAAGGAACCTTTAATGTAAAGTGTAACTTGAGCACTTCAGAGTGAACTTCCTCAAGCTTAATCATGTGAACCTTTTGTGAGAACCTGCTACTAAGCATTCAGTTAGTAAATATTTGTACATCTAGCATAAGTTTTCCTTAGACTTACTGGGATGAAACCTCACTTCCATTTACTGTGAGCCTGCTGATCCTTAGCTGAGAGGTCCCAACACTTTCAGCTGTCTTTTTCTATCAAAAGCGGCCTACAACTGGTACCTGATCAGTCATCAGGTCAGGTCATGACACTGAGATGGGAAACCACCAAGCAGATTTTCCACTAGTCTTGCCTGAGCCCCATACACCCCCCTCCCCGGGTGAATTAGGCTCCCTTTTCTGTGGTAAAGACATGCACAAGCCTCTCCCAACAAGAGGCAGGTGGAGCCGGATACCCAGAGGAGTGGAAAAAAGCCAGTTGTCTAATGTGAACCATTTGATCAATAATCTATTCACTGAATTTGAACTACTTGTCAAATAGCCTGTCGCTCCCCGTCTTCGTGGAGGAACGACACAGGACCCTGCGCTGTTCTTTCGTCTGCTTGGCCCTCCCCGGGTTTGCTGCTGGTTCTTCCCGGGTTGGCTGCTGTCCCTTCCACCTCCGTGGAAGGGCGGTTCCCCCTGCCACATTCCCCACTTCCGCGGGGGAGCGGCACACCAGCACACCGCCGGCCGGCTCTCTTGGGGGCTGCACAGGTGTTCCCTCAGATGTTCCCCTTAGATGTTCCAGGTGCATGCCGTCTCTCTCCTCCTTTATAGTCCTCCTCTGCCAATCCCAACTCGGCTGCCCACACGCCGAGTACGCTGCTCTCCTCCAATCAGGAGCAAGTCCTACAGTTTATTGGCTGAACTGGAGGCAGCTGTGTAGAAGCTGTTTTCTCCTCTCCCAGCGCCATATTGTGGGAGAGCAGATGCATAGAATAAGCCTTAATTCCAGTAACTTAGTCTAGTCCGAGTTGCTCCCCACATAGCCTACTCCCAAATTCTAACAACTTTACCCCTTACCAATTTTCTAAACTGTATCTTAAATAATATTATTCTTGAATATGTCCAGTAAATTTTAAGATACTCTGTTAAAGATAGGAATGACTAGCACTTCTCTCTGATTATTAGGAGCAAAGAATACTTGTTAAATGAGCAAATAAAAAACGTTTCCATTAGATATCATTTTGAGAGCTTTCCTGCTCCAGGAGTCCAAGTTACAGTATCCCCTTGGGAGAAAATGTCAGAATGGCTGGAGACCTGGAATTCACACCCAGGTGGAATATCTCCGTGAACTACACCAGGCTGACCTTCCCCTGGATGAGACCTCAATCGCCTTTTCATTTATGTGAATCTTCCAAATATCTTCTCTTCAGATTTTACGCAAATTGTCAGGATCATTCATTTATGCATTCGTTGAAGAATATGGTTTGAGCAGCAACCATACCCCAAGTGTTCACTAGGCAGATCCAGCAATGGATCACAGAAATTTCTTCCTTCGGGGAACTTTCAATATAGCAGGGGCACAAAGTTCAAAAAATAACACAAAAGTGAGTAGGTAATCGCACATTCTGGTGACTATTCACAAAGAGAAATATGAAACCCTGCTGTCGGAATGGTTACGCTAACTACAGAAGAAGAGTGTGATTTTTAGACTTTTTCCTCTTCTTCCCTATCTCTACAAAGATTGATTAGGAAGACACTTGCCTTCCTGAGCAATCAGAAGGGCAATTAGGAATGTGCCTACCTATTCGAGGGATGACGGACCCACTATCACTTTCAGAGATTAAAAACAGACACAAGGGCAGTTGTGTGACCGAAACCTCCCACTTACCTCATTTTAACTGGAGAAACCAGAGTCCATCCGCTCTAAGATCTCTTCCTTGCCATATCGAACTTTGTTGCAAAGTCAAGTACACAAGAAGTGCTCCAGTTCCTGCCCTGCATTACAAAGCGGAGAAATCTACTTCGGATGTACATAATGCCCATCAAAATAGTGCCTGAAAATCAAGAATACCTCATTTTTAATACATTCATGATTGTACCACCACCACAACTACATCAATTATAATTTTTTTAAAAGCTTTATTTGTTTGTTTAAAAGTCAGAGTTACACAGAGAGAGGGACAGACAGAGAGAAAGAAATCTTCCATCAGCTGGTTTACTTCTCAGATGGCTGCAATGGGCCAGGGATAGGCAAGGCCGAAAACAGGAGCCTGGAATTCCATCCAGGTCGCCCATGTGAGTGTCGGGACCCAAGCACTTGGGCCATTCTCCACTACTTTTCCCAGGCCATTAGCAGAGAGCTGGATCATAACTGGAACAGGTGGGACAAGAACCAAGACCCATATGGGATGTTGGTATTGGAGGTGGCAGTTTACCCACTACATCACAACACCAGCCCCAAGAATACCTCATGTTTAAGTATTTACAAAACATAGATACATCTTTGGTCTTAATCAGAACAGAATAATACATTTCAGTTTATTCATTCTAAACCAATAATTCTTCTCTATAATTATCCAGGTAAAGTCAGTTACTCTGTAGAACCTTCCATGATTTTTCCACGATTTCCCCAGGCCCTGTTATTAATAGTTACATCCTCCTCTGCACTCTTACAAGACTTCCAGTGCAGTTCTACGTTGTTCCATAAATATCTTCAGGTCTTAAGAATTTTGTGGCCTATTTTACACTACTGAAGACCCAGAAGTGACCAACTAGGTCTTATTTATTTGTGTACCCTGGGTACCTAGCAGAAAGCCAAGCTGTGTGTGTGTGTGTGTGTGTGTGTGTTTAAAATGTATTTATTTGAAAGGCAGTTATAGAGAGAGAGAGAAGAAGAGACAGAGATTCTTCCATCTGTGAGTTCCCTCCCCAAATGGCCACAAAGGCTGGAACTGGGCCAATCTGAAGCCAGGAATCAGGATTTCTTCCACGTCTCTCAAGTGGGTGCAGGGGCCCAAGGACTTGGGCTATCCTCAGCTGCTCAGGTGCATTGGCAAGGAGCTAGATCAGAAGTGAAGCAGCTTGAACCAAGTCCATATGGGATGCCAGCATTGCAGGCTATGGCTTTACCTGCTTCGCCAGAATGCTGGCCTCAGAATGCCAAGTTTATAGTAATAAAAGATTTAGTGAATGAAGAGATATAGCCTAAGTGGAATCTCATTACAAAAAATGGAGGAGGGCAGCTTTGACTTTTGATTTTAACCCTAGTGAAGAGACAGGCATGCAAAATGTAGGCAAGCATAGCATTCAAAAGAGAACTAAAGTGCCAAGATTGTGAGAGGAGGAGAGAAGATACAGAAAGAAAGCTATTGGGGATAATGAAAGAGAGTAGAGAGGACGGGACTGGAGCAGAAAAGGCCAATGAGGGTGCACCTTGTAGGTCATGATAAGAATGTGGAGAGCTGGCCCTCAGTATCCATGGGTTCTGCACCTGCAGATTCAACCAACCATGGAGCAAAAACATAGGAAAAGAAATTACATTTCTAACAAACATGTTCAGACTCTTTCCATATTGTCAGTCCCTACACAATGCAGTGTAACAACATTGCATTTACTTTGCACTAGGTACTGAAATACCAGTGCCTGGCATGGCAGAGACCCCCCCAAGAGGGTTTTATTGACTGACTGTGTTCTGATTGGTGGATCCCATGCAGGACTGTTAGCTGAAGATCACAAATGGATTGAGAGGATAAGAAAAGAGCGTGTGGCCATACTAGGCTTTTGACTTGAGCTGCCGGATGCATGGTGTTGCTCCTTACCCACATATGAAAGAGCAGGGGAGGCACAAGTTTGTGAAAAGGAAAACATTAATTCTGTTACATTTAATACTTACTACATGTGCATGTGGAAAGGTCTAGCAGGCCAAGTTCAATGCAACAAAACTCTAGAGCAACCAAACTGAAATAACCTTGAGGATCATTTTATTATGAATAAATCTTTGGATTCAATTGAGAATCATGAAGTACTCCCTGGTTCTCACAACTCTTTTGGCTAGCTGTAGCAGACTGAAAAATGTCCACTCTAAAATGTGACGTTTTATTCAGGTATATGTCCATATGGCTTTATTTGAAAAGAAGGTCTCTGCAGATGTTTAAGAATCCTGAGATGGGTGGATTATCCTGATTATCTGGATGGGCCCTAAATGTAATGACGTGTATTCTTAAAGAGGAAGGCAGAGGGAGGTTCCAGACAGGAGAGCATGAAGAACTGATTCTCCTTTGAGCCCCCAGAAGGAGCACAGCTCTGTGGCAGTACTTTGATTTTAGCCCCACAATATGGATTTCAGGCTTCCGGCCTGCAGAACTTTGGGAAAATCCATTTCTGTTGTGTTCATCCACTAGGTTTGCAGTTATTTACTATAATAACCATGGAAAATGAAATTGTCCACCAAGGTAGTTGGGAGGAAACATAGTTGCTCTATCCCCCTTACAAACAAAAAACCAGAGATAGGAATATTCCTGATATCCCTACATTTCCCTGTTTGATTGAAACAGATGGCTTTAGAGACTTTGCTTCCGGTGAGATAAGAGAGAGGTGACAAAGACTGGGTCTCCTTGACCAAAGCTTAGTGAGGCTCTCCTAAGCACTTGACTTCAACCTTGATCTCCATCCAGTCTTCAGTCCGCTTCATGCACTTTTAGCAAGAATCTTGCTAAGTCAGTTTAGTGAGAATCCCTCATACTTGATATCTGATCACCCTTTGACATCTGATCAAGTTCTTTATCCCCCATCTTTGATGCCTAAATCTTTGCCGCCTTCAGCAAGAATCCTGCAAGCTGAGTTTAGTTTTTTTTTTTTTTTTTTTTTTTTTTTTTTTTTTTTTTTTTTTGACAGGCAGAGTGGACAGTGAGAGAGAGACAGAGAGAGAAAGGTCTTCCTTTGCCGTTGGTTCACCCTCCAATGGCCGCCGCTGCAGCCGGCGCACCGCGCTGATCCTGGCAGGAGCCAGGAGCCAGGTGCTTTTCCTGGTCTCCCATGGGGTGCAGGGCCCAAGCACCTGGGCCATCCTCCACTGCACTCCCTGGCCATAGCAGAGAACTGGCCTGGAAGAGGGGCAACCGGGACAGAATCCGGCGCCCCAACCGGGACTAGAACCCGGTGTGCCGGCGCCGCAAGGTGGAGGATTAGCCTATTGAGCCACGGCGCCGGCTGCAAGCTGAGTTTAGTAAGAATCTTTCCAACCTTGATGTCTCCCCTTGGTAATTTTCCATCACAATCCCTTCACACTACTGTCTGGCTATAAGTCTCAACTTGTCCTTTTTGAGTTGGACTTGATTTCTCTTTTCTATTGCAAATGGCCACAACAATCAGGATTGGGACAGCCTGAAGCCAGAAGCCAGGAGCTTCTTCCTGGTTTCCCACATGGGTGCAGGGCCCCGGGACTTGGGCCATCCTCCACTGCATTCCCAGGCACATCAGCAGGGAGCTGGATGGGAAGTGGAGCAACTGGGATGTGAACCGGGGCCCATATGGGATGCCAGCGCCATAGTTGGCAGCTTTACCCACTACTTCACAGTGCCGGCCCAATAATATTTTCTTTGACAGAGATGGCACCACTGGGATATCAACTCCCAGATTCTAGACATTAAGAACTCTGAACAAGCCCTCCTTTCTAAATGTCAAAATAGCTACTGCTGAAAATATTACACAGGATTAGATAGAAGTGAAATATCCAGTAGTCTCTTTAGAGATACGTCTCTTTGAGTTGAAGTATCTATTAACCCTGCATTACAAAGAAGACAAACATGGCCAATCTTCATTTTCTGTTTTTTCCCTTTCTCTCTCCCTTGCTTTCTGCCTTCTTTCCTTTCTTCCTTCCTTCCTACCTCTCACTTATTCATTCACTCTTCCAGCAAATATTTACTGAGCCATGACTCTGCACAAGGCTGGATGCTAGGAGCCACTGTGTCATAAAGAGGCATATGCTGTAGTCACCACTCTCAATGGAGGAAGGAAACCACAGTAGGGCTCCGAGCCCATACCATGCATCTGCTGCCATTGTGGACATTTTCACGTGTACTATCATTTAATCTATAAATAGAACCAGAGAGATCATTGTTATTTTTCTCTTAACAGATGATGAAACTGAATCTAAAGAAATTGAATTGAGGAGGGAGGGGTGACTAGGCAGAGCACAGGTGAACTTTAGGACAGTGAAAACACTCGGTATGCTGCCAAAGGAGGGTTACAGGTCATCACACATCTGTATAAACCCAAAGGATGCACACACCAGGAGTGAAGCATACTGGAATTGTGGACTTGGGGGTAATGATGCCATGTCAGTGTTGGGTCATCCGTCGGCAGAAGTGCCCCGCCCTGCTGGGGGATAATGATAACGGGGGCAGCTATGCATGTGCAGAGGCAGATGGTATACAGAAAATCTTGGTATTTCCTTTTCAATTTTTTTAAAAAGATTTATTTATTTATTTGAAAGGCAAAGTGACAGAGAGGCAGGGGCAGAGAAAGAGAGAGAGGTCTTCTATCCACTGGTTCACTCCCCAGATGCCTGCAATGGCCAGAGCTGTGCCAATCAGAAGCCAGGAGCCAGCAGCTTCATATGGGTCTCCCATGCGGGTGCAGGGGCCCAAGGACTTGGGCCATCTTCTACTGCTTTCCCAGGTTATAGCAGAGCTGGATCTGAAGTGGAGCAGCAGGGACTTGAACTGGCACCCAGAATAGATGCTGGCACTGCAGGCAGTAGCTTACCTGCTATGCCACAGCACCGGCCCCTGGGAGCTCTTGATATGGAGACCAGAAGTAAACTGAGGAAATATATTGTCTGGAGGATAAACTGGAAAGGATGCAGAAAGAACCCCAGATCAAGGGAACCTGGTGGGAGGCTGGGCTGCAAGGGAAGCAGGAATCACAGGTTAAGATGAAAATGGAAGGCCGGTGCCGCGGCTCACTAGGCTAATCCTCTGCCTGCGGTGCCAGCACCCTGGGTTCTAGTCCTGGTTGGGGTGCAAGATTCTGTCCCGGTTGCTCCTCTTCTGGT